CGGGGGTGGGGGTGGTTCTGGACCCAGCAAGTTAACTCCCATGCAAATAAAGAAACATTCCACCAGCTGGAAGACGCCCCTCTTCTTTGGCGGACCTGGCCCCCTGGGTCCACGCTCGGGTCACCTCCAGACTAGACTATGGTAAAAGGTAAAGGTTCCCTTGCTCAAAAGCCAGTCGAATCTGACTCTAGGGTTGCAGTGCTCATCTCCATTTCAAAGCCGAAGAGCCAGCGCTGTCCGAAGACGTTTCCGTGGTCATGTGGCCAGCATGACTAAACACCAAGGCGCACGGAACGCTGTTCCCTTCCCACCAAAGTGGTACCTATTTATCTACTTGCAATTTCTTGCTTTCGAACTGCTAGGTTGGCAGGAACTGGAACTAGAGACGGGAGCTCACTCCGTCTTGCGGCACCCGGGTCTTGAACTGCTGAGCTACTGACCTTCCACAGCCTGCAGTTCAACGTCTTCACTTGAGCCACCGCAGCTCCATAGACTATGGTAACGCACTCTATACAGGTCTACCCTCAAAACAACTTGGAAGCTCCAGATGGTACACGAGGACCCTCCACCCCTGGAATAGCCAGGGCCCTTCCTCCACTTCTTTGCACGTTATTATTGTAAGCCACCATAAACCACAAGAAAAGGTGGAGCAAAAATATTTTAATAAATAAGATAAAAGTGGGTCTCCCCATGGAAATCCTTGCAGCTCAGAGGACCCCTAAGGCCCTATGCCAGACAGGCACCTGGGCCACCCCCGCTGGCTCCGCACCAGCTGCCTGAAGGGGTGGCACAAACGGCCATCCAAGAGTGCCTGCCCGCTGGCTGCGTGCTCGGGGGAGTTGTTGCCCAAGATGCTCTTACGGGCCCTGCGGGAGGGGAGGTGCCCCAACTAAGCCCCCAGCCCACCCCAGCCAAAGGAAGTGCCTGGTTGGGACCTCCTGCCTCCCCAGCCACACCTCACTGGCGCAACATCCCATCCCAGGGCCAGTGCCCCAGGGGCCAGGAAAGGTGGGAGGGTGTGGCCCAAGAGGCAGGAGAGGGGCTTGACCTGGTGGAGTCCCCTCAGTTTGGTACCAAAGCCAGATGGGAGCCCGCAGTTTTCTGTGGACTGCCATGAGGTCTCCCAGATCGCTTTGTGGGATGGAGACCCTGCGTGTCACAGGCCCAGCTTCTCATAGACAAGTTTGGGGCAGTGGGGACCAAAGTGTCCCCTGGCTGGGGACCGGGACTCCCTCCCTCCCCCAGCACTTGGATCTCCTCTGGGGCACGTTTGGCGGGCTGCATTGTTTGGGGTTCCGGGTCAGAGAGGGATGCCTCGGGCCCCTGCCAGAGGAGGGTGCCGTGCTGAAGGAGTGCCCAGCCCGCCCAAACAAGGAGCAGCTCCAGAAGATCTGGAGGCTGGTGGGACGCTGGGGTCGCTTGGTGTCCCAGTTTGGCAAGCCAGGCCAATCCTTGCCAAAGGACCCATCTGACAAGCTCCCTGGGGGCCCGCCAGATTGGCTGCCTTCTGCTGGTGGTGGTGGGGAGGCCCTCCTTTGACTACAGGGACAAAGGCTTGAGTCTGGGGGCTCACCTTGAAGGCCAACAAACTTTAGTTTGGGGTAAAGCTGGGTCTGCGTGCCCATGAGCGCTTCTACCCATAATTAAACTCGGTTGGTCTTTGCTCCGCTGCTTCAGACCCACCGGAATCTATGATTAAGAAGTGTTGGGAACTTTGACACAATTAGCCCCTGTTTTTACAGTCATTGTGGGGTTAATGTTCACAGGCGTGCGTTTCCTAATATCTTGCTTCATAAAGAGGTCTGTTGCTTTTCTCCAATAAAAGATAAATGTCTCTGGAGGTTTCTTCCCTGGCCTCCTGGTTTGAGTTCAAAGAGCAGAGCTTACATCTAACTCGTTTGCATTACCAGATTCCAGAGCTGAGAGGCAGCCTTTAATCGGTATATCCTGGAGATGCCTGCCACGAAATGCTTGAGACCGGCCATGTCCTGCGGGGGTTGGGTGGTCCAGCTTCTCTCATTGGGTGCAGGAGTCAAACAGTCCGTTCCAGGAGGTCCCACTCTGTCGATTGTGTTGACTTGTTCCATGTCATCTGCCGTGAGGTCCAGTGAGAGAGGTGGACAACAAATAGGTTTCCCTTGCTCGAAAGCCAGTCAAATCTGACTCTAGGATTGCGGTGCTCATCTCCGTTTCCAAGCCGAAGAGCCAGCGCTGTCCGAAGACGTTTCCGTGGTCATGTGGCCGGCATGACTAAACGCCAAGGCACACAGAACGCTGTGACCTTCCCACCGAAGTGGTATCTATTTATCTGCTTGCAATTTCTTGCTTTGGAACTGCTAGGTTGGCAGGAGCTGGGGCCAGAGATGGGAGCTCACCCCGTCATGCGGCACACTCGGGTCTGGAACTGCTGAACTACCGACCTTCCACAGTCTGCAGTTCAGCGTCTTAATCCCTTGAGCCACCGCAGCTCCGGACAACAAACAACATACATGTAAACAAATGTTTCTGCCACAATAAATGTGTTAGTCTTTAAGGTGCCACAAGCTCCATTAAGGGGAGGATGTCAGGAAGCTGGGTGGGGTGGGGGCTGGGTTCTCTCTGCCGAGGCCTTGGAGAGCCACTGCCCTTTAGAGCCGCCAAAGCTGACCTGTCTCTGCCGGTGGGGGTGTGCTGTGCCTCCCACCCACCTGTCTGCACCCGGCCTCCTCAGTTGTTGTTGTTCAGTCGCACAGTTGAGTCCGACTCTTTGCGACCCCATGGGCCAGACCACGCCAGGCCCTCCTGTCTTCCGCCATCCTCTGAAGTTGGTTCAATTTCATGTTCGTTGCATCTTTGACACTGTCTAACCATCTCATCCTCCTCAGTAGTGGGGTCCTAGTGTCCATCCGCTCCGCGCTCTCCCGCCCCTTCCGTGCATCAGGCTGCCTTGAGCTGGATGGATTTAGCTTCTCTACTCTGTGTCCTGGCCCTGCGGGGCGCCTCCCTCCTCCGCATCATCTGCGAAGGCGTTTCCCAGTACAGCCCTTTCTGCTTCCCCCACCCCCTGGCCTACCTCTCCCCAAGGCCTCCCCGAAAGGGGCAGGGCTACAGCAGGGTGCCCCCAGCCCTCTGGACACACTGGCTCTCGGGCAAAGGGTGGCACAGCGGTTAGTGTGCCCAACAGGGATCTAGGAGACCCGGTCCGAGTCCCCACCCTGGCATGGGAGTTTCCTGCGTGACACCACCTGCCTCATCGCAGGGTGGCTGTTGCAAGGATGGACGGACATGGGGGGGGGGCGAGGGGTGTCACTGGCTGCTTTTTGAACCCCCCTGAGCTGGGTAGCCCAGCCTCGCCAGAGAAGCTAAGCGGGTTTGGCCCTGGGTAATATTTCCATGGGAGACCACCAAGGAAACCCAGGGTCCCTATGCAGAGGCAGGCGATGGCAACCACCTCTGAACCAGTTTGGCGTCGTGGTTAGGAGCGCGGAGGACTCTAATCTGGGAGAACCGGGTTGGATTCCCCACTCCTCCACTTGCACCTGCTGGATGACCTTGGGCAAGTGTTGGGATTCTCAATTCAAGGTCGATGGTTGTATTGCAAACACAAGAGCCACACTTAGTAAAAGAAAAATACCTTTACTATAAAAACAAAATAAAACATGGGTAGGGTACTTTGGATAAAAGAAATAAAATAAAAGGTTACATACTTACTCTCAGTAATATATGCTAACATAAATTCTATCTGTCTTGGCTTCTAGTTCACACAAAGGGCCATAAACGTGAATACATTAACGCTAGATCAAAGCATTTCTTCAAACAAGATGTTAGTTGACCAATACAAAGGTTACAGGTCACTTCATTAGGATAAACAACTCCCACAAACTTTCCCACATTATGTAACATAATACATTATGTAACGTAACATCCCGTTTGCTAACAAACAACATTTAACTCTGTAATGGCTGAAGTGTAAGCAACTTGCAATTCCAACAGCAAGCCACAGTTCTGTCAGAGCTGTCCTTGAAAAAGAGCAGTTTCTGTCAGAGCTCTCTCAGCCCCACCTACCTCACAGGGTGTCTGTTGTGGGGACGGGAAAGGAAAGGAGTTTGTGAGTCCCTCTGAGACTCCTTTGGGTAGTGAAGGGCGGGGTATAAATCCAATCTCTTCTTCTTCTTCTTCTACCTCACAGGGTGTCTGTTGTGGGGAGGGGGAGGGAAAGGAGTTTGTGAGTCCCTCTGAGACACCTTTGGGTAGCGAGGGGCGGGTAGAAATCCAAACCCTTCTCCTCTTCTGAACGTTTCTTGCCTTGGAAACCCTACTGGGTCGCCATAAGTCGCCTGTGACTTGATTGCCAAAAAGAACAAGAAAAGGAAGACTGTGGAGGTTAGGGTATAGTAAATTATAGCCATTTACAGAAATAAGGGTAGCAGGCTGGTGCAGATTTGCCCTGCAAGTTTATATCCCTTCTCCCAGACGAGGAGGTTGGGCATGCACTCTGCAAATGCTCAGATGCACACTCTTGAGACCCAGCTTTCAACACCAGTCTCAGGTGAAGTGTTTCCATCCTCCCCCCTTGCAAGTTGTGTGTATGCGTACAGACCCAAGATTCTGGCTGCCTTGGATACAGGAACACAACCCAGAATCTCGAGTGGGCGCCTATCCTGCGTTTCAGAAAAAGGATTGCAATGCGCACCCAAGGCTTTGACCCAAGTGCTGAGCCAGGCCAACGCAGGAGGAGTTCAGAGTACCTTGTCCCTGAACGGCGAGGGCTCTCTCCTTGTGTATTCCAGTTATGGAGACACAGGTGCCACAGCCACCAGGCATTCAGTGAAGACAACTGGAAGTTCATCCTCACGGACTGCACGGAGGGCCGCATGACGATCACCAGAGTTGCCAACTTACTGCTGTGCGTGTATGCAGAGGAGATGGGGGAGGGGGCTTTGGGATGCTGAAAGCAAAGGCCCAGCCGCCCAAGCTTTGGTCCAGTACCTCAAAGACCGGCTTGCCCAGGTAGCGGCATCATGAGCCATGGAGCCAAAGAGACAGGGGAGAGGCTACTTCTGAAACAAGCTTTTACGCAAGAGAAACTAGGTACTCAGAAGGGTTCTTTTTTTGGCTTGCAGACTCCACCTCCTATCACGTCAGCCCTCCTTAATTGTGTGTCTTTCAAATTTAAAGCAAAGGTGGGAAAAGAATAAAAAGCTGTGCTTATCAAAATCTCGAGTGAACCTTCCTGAACAGAAAGGCATCACGTGATCCTGCCAGGGATATAAGGGGAAGGAAAGCCCATCTCCTGGCAACGGGGCAGGGCAGGGCCACTCCCAGGCTCTGCCGGTTGCACAATGGAGCTGCCCCTTTTTGTGCCTCCAGGTGTGCCCGCTCAGAGCTGGAAAGCACCCAGGCCTCCCCCTCTGCTGCAAACTTTGATCTTCTTGGGGAATGCCACCCATGCCCCAGCTCAGAGGGCGGGCTGAACAGGAGGAAGTCAGTCCACCCGCCAGGCAAAACGGAGGCCAAGTGGGCACTCTTAAGGAGGCCCTGGGTGGAGGCCCCTTGGCTGAGTTGAGGCCCGGCGGCCATTTCCGCAGAATGGAGACTCAGGCTGATCAGCAAGGCCGGTCTCTCTGGCCGCTACAGTCCCTCTCTTTAGGTGGCGCTTGGTGCTTTTGAGCTGCCCAGAAGAGTGTCGAACAGATGTGGTTGGCTGGGGGCTGGGGGAGTGAGGCTCAGCTGGCGGTGCTGGCAGGCGGCACCCGAGGAGGGGGAGGCTGTCCCCACCAGACAGCCCACTGAGCCTGGCTTCCAGGGGTTGGGCCGGGCGTGCCCAGTCGAGCCTGGTGGGAAGGCAACACCTTGCTGGCCTTGGAATCCTGACTCCACAGGTGTGAGAAACAGGCACTCTGCACGCGTCCAGACAAACTCTTTTCTTTCTTCGCACTCCAGGCGTTCCCTGGCGATCCAGAGAACTCCTGGCGCTGAACTGCTCCGGTAGACCGGCGCTCCGGCACTGGAAGTACTGGCGAGGCTTCTTCCCCCTCTCCTCCAGAGCCCCTGGCAAAGAGGCAGCTGTGACAAAGAAGGGGGGGGGCACACACCGGCGCACCCCCCCCCTGAAAACTCTCTGGCGCCCCCGCGTGGACAGCGGCAGGTACTGCGACGTGGGACCGGGGGGGCGGATGGTCCTCGGCTCCCTCTACCAGAGGGTCCGGGTCCCGTCCCGCCACGACCTTCGGTTCGGCCGGGAGAGGCTCCGAAAGAAAAGGGGCGGAGCTCGGATCCGCCCCCGGACCCCCGTCCGGGGTTCCCCCGGAGGTCCCGGTCAACCCCCCGGTGGTCTCCCAGGTCTCCTGAGTTCCCTCCATGCCCCCCGTACCTTTGAAATTGAAGACCCTGCCGGACTGCAGGGACTTTGCCATCGGTCGGAGGTCTTCCGGAGAGTCAGGTGTAGGGCTGAGAGTGTCCCCTAGGCCACCCGATAGGTGAGTCGGGCCAGCTCCCGGCCCATGGCCTTCAGCCGGCTGCCTGTGGACCTCGGATATGCTCAGGGGCTCTGTGAGAGAGGGACAGAAACTAGAAGATTTCAAAGTGGTGGGTTTTACCTGTGAGTCAGCAGTGAGCTGGGCTACAGCTCCAAGACTCCCATCTGCTGTCACAGGAACAGCCGAGATGTGCTGTTCGGCCTCCCAGCCGGCGTTGACAGTAGAGGACTCAGAAGGAGCAGGGTTCGCCGGCCCGGTCCTTGGGCCCTCCAGCTGCTGCATTGGTTCAGATGGAGCCTCGGGTGACTTGCTTCCCACATCCTCCTGGCCATGGCTGGAGAGACCTGAAACTGAGAGACAAGCCGAGCCCTGGGGGCTCCCGGGGCCCACCGGGGCACGGCCGGTGGACGCCAAGGCCTCCATGGGCACCCCCTCGACCTCCCCCACCGAGTTGTGGGGACACAGGGGGTCCCCCCGGGCTCCCAGTGCCACCCGAAGACTCACCTGGTGGGATGAAAGTTCTTCTAAGTCCCCACTCCCATAGGAATCAATGGGAGGTCGCCCGCCCGCCCCCAGCCGGCCTCCCTCCCTCTGTGCCTGGCAGGGTTCTGGCTCCTGTGGACGGTCCTGATCCTGTTCAGCTGCTGCTGCGCCTACCGGCACCGCCGCGCCAAACTCCGCCTGCAGCAGCAGCAGCGCCAGCGGGAGATCAACCTCATTGCCTACCACGGTGCCTGCAACTACCCGCCCTCCGGCATGGACCTCCGTGAGTGGGCGGGGGGGAGGAGGAGGAGGAGGAGGAGGGGGAATTGCAAGGAGATAAGTAGGTGGTACCACTCCAGTGGGAAGGTCACAGCGTTTTAGTCATGCCGGCCGCATGACCACGGAAACATCTTCGGACAGCGCCAGCTCTTCGGCTTGGAAACGGAGATGAGCACCACAACCCTAGAGTCGGATTCGACTGGCTTTCGAGCAAGGGAACCTTTACCTTTATAGATAGGGGCTCTGGGGCAAGGGATGCTCTTTATTCTTGTTGCTTATTTATTTATTTATTTATTTATTTATTTATTTCATTTATACCCCACCCTCCCCGCATGCTTGGGAGGGGGGCAACAGTGGGAGGGCTTTTACTGTCCTGGCCCCACTGCTGGACCTCCTGATGGCACCTGGTGTCTTTCGCCACTGT